GAGAGAGAGAGAGAGACAGGCTGACTGAGAGAGAGAGAGACAGGCTGCGAGAGAGAGAGAGAGACAGGCTGACAGAGAGAGAGAGACAGGCTGGCTGAGAGAGAGAGAGAGACAGGCTGCGAGAGAGAGAGAGAGACAGGCTGACTGAGAGAGAGAGACAGGCTGGCTGAGAGAGAGAGAGAGACAGGCTGCCAGAGAGAGAGAGAGACAGGCTGACTGAGAGAGAGAGACAGGCTGGCTGAGAGAGAGAGAGAGACAGGCTGACTGAGAGACAGGCTGACAGAGAGAGAGACAGGTTCACAGAGAGAGACAAATAGACAGGCTGACTGAGAGAGACAGACAGGCTGACTGAGAGAGACAGACAGGCTGACTGAGAGAGACGGGTCGACAGAGAGAGAGAGATAGGGTAACATCCAGGTCTGTACCCATCAGGCATGAGCTCAATGGGACCAAGCACATCAGTGTTAAGGGAAGTGTGTGAAAATGCAGCACAGCTAAACACGCTCTGGCCGTCAGCCCTCTCACATTCCGGTGTTTTCTCTGGTGTAATGATTAACAGCGTGGGCTCACCGCAGTTCTCTCGCTCTCTCATGCACAGTTAATCAGAGAACAATCACTGCGGACCTTAACGATCTTCACAGCACCGTCCAGGACATCCGGACTGCCTGCCAGAAAATGCCCATCACGGCAGATGACCGATTTGCAGCCATCATGAGTGTATTCCTTAAAGGCAGGGGAGTGGCCTAGCGTGAGCACGCACATGCAGAAACACACAAAAACACGGACACATGCAGAAAAACAGACACACTCAGAAAGCACACACACAGAAACACAGACATGCAGAAACAGAGAAACACAGACGCACACAGGCCGGCACAAACACACAGACAGGTGCAGACGCACACAGATGGGCACAGACGCACATAGACAGGCACAGACACACAAATGGGCACAGACGCACATACACAGGCACAGACACACAGATGGGCACAGACGCACACAGGCAGGCACAGATCGACGTGGTGCTGTGCTCCTTGACCCCCGCTGCCACAGAGCTTCCTGGAGAACAGTCACCCGGCGGTGCAGTCGCTGGAGTCGCTGCAGCAGAGAGCCATGCTGGAGTTCAGCAAGGTGGCCTCCTTCTTCGGGGAGGACAGTAAGGCCACCACGACCGAGGCCTTCTTCGCCATCTTCTCCGAATTCATGTCCAAGTTCGAGGTGAGTCTGGCACGGCGATCCGCTCGCGGCTAGGGGGCACGCTGCCATTTGCCGACGGACTCAGTGCTCGACATCTTCCTCTCCATGCCCGCTTTTTCAGAGGGCCCTCGCCGACATCCAATGCTTAGAGAACGCACGGAGCCCACGTGTGGCCTCGCCACAGGCCTGGTGAGGACGGCCCCGGCCACCAGCAGGAGGTGACGTCAGGCGGACGGACAGACCCTCTGTGCAGCGGAGAGGGACACGACTCCCCCTGCTGGCCTCAGACCCTGCACATGACTTCAGATGAAGTGTTCTGTATGTACTGGGAAGACCATTTTATAAACGCCATCAGAACATTATACAACAGTGACCGGATGATTAATCTTCCTGTGGACCTTGAACAGTAACAGAAGGCTTTTTTATTCTAATATGATTCCAGTTTTCAATATTATTTAACGTTCTGAATCACTGTAGCACACGTTCTGCGTTTCTTTCTTTTTTTTTAAACCGTGCTGCAGATGACTTGGTACCGTTAAGTGTAAATGTAAATATAAATGTAGATAATACCTGTAAATTTTAATATAATCGTGCAGTTTTAGTTGCCATGACGAGGTGCCGTTAGGACAGCGTGAGCTGGTTCTCCGGCAGAAACGGTCTTGCACAAACAGCACCTCGGGTCACGACGATGCTCTGGGACGATGAGCTGTCACAGCGGTGATCTTCCTGAAGAAAGGTGGCCGTGGACAGCACTGGGGTGATGCCTAACATTCTCACTCTCGCTGTTCCCGATTGGGCTCACCAGATGGGATGGGGGAGGGGGACGGGCGTCTCTTCAGACTGTTTCTAAGACCTGTTGTCTCGCTTTGGGACCTCCCTGGGTGAGACAGTGTGCTCCCCATGATTAGCATGACCCCGGTCTGCCTCGCAAGAGTCCCCGCCTGTCCTTAACAGTGCACCAGTGTCCCGTAGGCGCACCCTAGTGGCACTTCACTCTCCTCTGCAGCCACCACACATACACACTGTTTATATTCCGCGATCTCATATGTGGACGGTAGGAAAGCAGCGTCTTCACAAATCAGACCTGCTAGTCACTCTGACCGCAGCCCGTCCTGTGAATGGGCTTTCGGGGTCATATGCGAAGATACGTCATTTTCTGATCTGCATGTTTAGGTATTTATCAACAGGCTGGATTTCATGGCCCCCTCGCACCCAGGACAGGCAGGGTACCAAGCTCATGGCTGTAGTACAGCCGCTCGCTGTTTTGATGTCTGGGTAATATCAGGCTCAGTGCTCTGTGTGTGAGAGCTGCCTGCTCTGGGCCCCCGTGTCACACGTCACACTGATAGTGTCCGACCACCGAGGACACCGTGTGGCCGTCAGGGTGTACTGCTTCCCTGTACTACACCCCCGGGCCCCGTGAAGCCCCTCTGCAGCCAGCGTGTGCCTGGGATTTACACACTAACAGTTCATCTTTACTATCCTGGTTATAATATAAATATGCTACTTTGTAAACGGGTTAGTTTCCTTTGTTACGTTAAACCTTAAGTAAGTTTGTCCTCCAGTTATACACAACCGGTTAGCTTAACCTGCCGAGAGCAACCAGTCCCCGCTCGGTCATTATCAGCAGATCCGAGACCCATGGACGATTTCTGGACACGGAGCATGTTCCGTCTCTCTCTTGGCAGCAAGATGACGCTTCTGCTTGCCGATTCCGCCCTGTTTTAGTGGTTGTGGTAAATCCTTTGGGATGCGGACGTACATGCATGTGTAGGAAGTGGCTTTTTAGGGTGCTTACTTATTATAATAATGCTATTGTTTTTAGGCTACTATTTGTCTGAGGAATGGCCTGTTAATCTCAATGCTAAATGCGTGATGGTTCATATAATTATCTGTTTGCATATGAAGAAGGCATTTGGATTCTCTGATCACTCCATCCATCTGTGTCGGTGATGACCGCCTCCCATTCCTGCGTATACACCATCTCTAATCTCATGTGGCCTAGAATAAAATGTTTATTTTCCTCTCTTTAGTTTAAAAACTGTACATATATGTTTAAATGCTGGGCTCAAAATAAAAGTTGGTGTGCAATGCAGATGTGAGTGTCAGCATCTTCTTTCAGCATGGTCTGGTGAGCAGGAATGATTGGTGTGTGACCTGAGCTCTGACAGCATGGACCTCACACACACACACACACACACACCGGCCTGGAATGGCTCCACACACTGATCAACAGCATCCCTCCGGAAGAGGCACCAAGGTCCCTGTGGCGTGGAGCCTCAAACGCCAGTCGGCGAGATGTCCTTCCAGAAGGGTCCAGCGCAGGCCAACAAGCCAAGGTGCTGATACGCCGATTAAATTTTAACCAGCTTCTACCAGCCCTAATTGACGTTTGATTCCAAGGTCCACAGATGGTGTTATGAAGAAGAGTGAAAGCGTCTCCTGAACAGATACGCCTGGACACGCCGACCGGACAGGAGCTCCGGAGGTGTCATGTAAGGCAGGTGGGTGTCACATCTGCGCCTCGCCGGCCACAAGCTGGGGGACGTGGCCGCATGACCAGGGGACCGACGGAGTTTGTTATGCAGGTGCAAGCTGCAGGAGATCGTCATAGACCGATTCACAGACCGATGTGTTTAATTTCATAACCGGCAAAAATTTTGTAAATGTGGGATATTCACACATGTACACGTGTGAATAAACACAAGTATTGAGTCACTTTTTATGCTCATTTGAGGTTATGTGAAATCTCGAGAGTTTCACCCGTGATGAAGAGCTTCATTAGTCATGAGTATAATTAACTGAGTCACATTTTTAAAACTTTTAATCAGCTTTGATTTTTTTTCTCTCTCTTCCATTAGGAATAAAATAATTTCAAAGTGTAAGCCAGCTATAGATTTCGCTATATAAAGCCTGTGGTCCCTGGACGGGGGGTGGGGGGGGGGCTTGCCAGGAATGTCACTCATCTGAGCGAAGGTGACGGTGACTTATTAACAGTTAACGCTCTAGCAGGGACTCCTAGCGTGTTCTGAAGGACGGCTCCGCAGTCGTGACGACCACGTGTAAACGTGACACACATCAGCGGTCGCCTCTGGTTAACCCTTCCCCAGATCCAGCCGATCCTCCAGCCCGATGGCATCCACCCAGGGGCCCCCCACTTCATCCACCACTCTGGCAGGGGGCTCGGCCTCCGTTCAGACTCTGCCCACCATAGACATCGTGGTGCTGGTGGTCTACTTCCTGCTGGTGCTGGCGGTGGGCCTGTGGGTAGGTCGAGGAAACCCAGCTCTGACCTCAGGGAGCCTGGGGGGGGGGGCTCCGTTTAAATGTGTAAATGATCTTCCTGTTGAATCCTGATTGCACGGTTTGCCCTGGTGACCCTCTGAGCATCGCTGCCTGCTTTTCAGTCCATGTGGCGGACCCAGAGAAGCACTGTCGATGGGTATTTTCTTGCTGGGAAAAACATGGTTTGGTGGCCGGTGAGTCAGTCACTCTGAGTTCTGTGAATTTAGCTTCACCAGACACATACGGACCCTGCTTGTGTTTTACCCGGTAACACCCACCTGTTCTTCTTTTGTGAGGGCACCATCTGCTCTGTGTCTCCCCCTACAGGTGGGCGCGTCGCTCTTTGCCAGTAATGTGGGCAGCGGGCACTTCATTGGGCTGGCGGGGTCAGGGGCTGCGGCCGGCATCAGCCCCACCAGCTACGAGTGGAACGTAAGGCTGACAGCCATCTCAGAATCTCCACTAACTGGGGCTCCCTAGTTTGGGCAAAGCAAGCAGTGTTTCTGTGGGTGTTTCTGAGGAACCTCAGGAGATGTCCTCACCAGTGCTCCTCTCCTAACACAGGGTCTCTTCATGGTCCTGCTCCTGGGCTGGGTGTTCCTGCCCATCTACATCACCTCGGGGGTAGGGGCTTTCCCTGCTACCTGTCCTGGGGGGGGGGGGCGGATATATTTTTGATGAAGCTAGATTTCCCTTTATGCTGTCGATGCTTCTTCATTGTCCTGCCTCAGGTCACCACCATGCCTGAATACCTGCAGAGGAGGTTCGGGGGCAAGAGGATACAGCTGTTTATTGCCGTTCTGTATTTATTCGTTTACATCTTCACTAAGATATCGGTGAGTCCGAATTAAACTCCCCATCTTGCAGATGATTTGAACCCGCGACTCTGTTGCGTGTGAGCCACTCTCTGCTGCCCCCAGGTGGACATGTACGCCGGGGCTGTGTTCATCCAGCAGGCCCTCCAGTGGAATCTCTACCTGGCAGTGGGTCTCCTCCTGCTCATTACATCCATCTACACCGTGGCAGGTACATCATACACCGGCGAGTCCATCGGGGGGCGCCACTGCTCCCGTGAAGCTGCATTTCTCCCCCTTATGGATGTATAAATGGTTAAAAACATGTTTCATGTGACTGATGAGGCGTGCTCCTCTTCCAGGGGGCCTGGCAGCCGTCATCTACACAGACGCTGTGCAGACCGTCGTCATGTTGATGGGAGCCATCACCCTCATGGCGTTCAGTGAGTGTACCGCCCCCTCGCCCATAGTGTGGCGATGCTCCCCCTGGGGAGGGACTCCTGACCCCATCGCCGACCTCGCTGCCTGTTGCCAGGTTTCGAAGCGGTCGGAGGCTGGGATGCTCTTCTCGATGGCTATGGCAACGCCATTCCCAGCGTCCGCTACCCCAACAGCAGCTGTGGCCTCCCGCGCCCGGACGCCTTCCACCTGTTCAGGGACCCGCTGACCTCGGATCTGCCCTGGCCGGGGATGCTGCTGGGCATGTCGGTGCCCTCCCTCTGGTACTGGTGCACGGATCAGGTGACGCCCGCCTCGGGGGAGGGCGTAGTCGGTTGTGGGGACAAGGGCATTGGGGGTGACACAGTGGCTCTGTCCTGGCTGCAGGTGATTGTCCAGCGCTCTCTAGCTGCCAAAAACACACTACATGCCAAAGGCGGATCGCTGCTGGCTGCCTACCTGAAGGTGGCGCCCTTCTTCATGATGGTCCTTCCGGGGATGATAAGCAGGATACTGTTCCCGGGTTAGCCTTCCCCACAGACACAGGAACAGGGTGTCTTCCCCCCACCTCACACTCTGTCCCCCCTGGCCTCAAGCATGCTCCACCCACCCCCCCACCCCCCCACCTCAGACATACTGTCTTCCCCTTTGGTCTCAGATGAGGTGGCCTGTGGAGATCCCGACGTTTGCCGGGCCGTGTGTGGGAATCCGGTGGGGTGCTCGGACATCGCCTACCCCAAGCTGGTGATGGAGCTGCTACCCTCCGGTGAGCCACAGCCCCGCGGGGGGGGGGGGGTTTCGGGAGGGGGGGTATTAAGCTGGTCCCAGCAGAGCGCAGCCTGATTTCATGGCGCCCCCCCCACAGGTCTCCGCGGCCTCATGATGGCTGTGATGATCGCAGCACTCATGTCCTCCCTCACCTCCATCTTCAATAGTTCCAGCACAATCTTCACCATGGACCTGTGGAGGCACCTGCGAGTCCGAGCCTCCGAGTGGGAGCTGATGGTGGTGGGCAGGTGACCGCGGTTTTATCTTGGGGACTGTGAGAGACACCAACTTGGGCTGTGCGATATGACGATATATATCGGATAACGAAATTAAAATGTGTATCGTTTCATATTATGCTCTATCGTTCATTTCGTGGTATCACAAGATACACCGTTTTACGGCGACATTTTTTCATCATTTGGAAGACAGTTTTGCAAGGTTACAAGCCACCAGATGGGATGTGGCTCTTGTATGGAAGTTTTTGTTGGGTTTTATATTTAACTATCCACAAATGTGTATTTTTTATTTGTGTTGTGCAAAATCATATCCACAAAAATAGAGGGTGATTTTTACATGTGAAACGTGGTTTGCACATTTGTGGATCATGTACTGTCTGTTTGTGGATCGCATTATATTTTTGACTTCCCTCCGATTGATTTGCGCATTTTTGTCCAGTTTGTACCGTTATGGAGCCTCTAAGCGGTCTGGGTGGGGAAATATTTTTTGTATTAGTTTTGCAATTCCACTACACTTGGCCATTTGCTATTTGCTGAAACATCATGCATGGATAAACCTAAATAATACAGACATGTCCTGTAAAGTGTGCTTTAAACATTAAACTATGGGGGACAATGTACACCATGTAACTTTAATATTGTGTGTTTTATACGTATTTATTAATAATTCCACTGTGTCCTTTCACTGCCAGTGACTTTAAGCAAGACAGCTGGGCTGTTGAACATGAAGTGCACACATACAAACCCTGAAATGTATTACAAACACTGAAACACTGGCAAAACTGCATACTGTATAAAGCTAACTTTACTGTGGTGTTGGAGTTAAGGTTTAAGCTCCATCCCGCTTACTGGAATATTTCAGTATAAGTGAAGTGGTTTCGGGTTTAAACCTTAACTATGACACCATGGAAAAGTTAACTTAAAATTCAGTTTTTGGGCTGTAATATCTTTCAACAAAACAAGCAACACCCTTTCATTTTCCAGATTTCTTTACAGCGAATTTTAATTAATATTTCAGTGTTTGTGTGTGAACTTCACCTTCATATCCCAGCTGCCTTGTTTACAGTAACCAGCGTTGAATGGACACAATGCAGTTATTAATAAATACATATAAAAACACATATGAAACCCCCCGTGGTTTAATGCTTAAAGCACATTTAACTGGACATGTCTGTATCGTTTAGATTTATACTTATTAGTCCATTAAATCTATGTTTTGTATTTTAAACGGACACAGTACAGTTATTATTAGTAATAGAAAAGTATTGCAAGGGAACTCAAAACTATTTCAAAAAAATATTTTCCCACACAGACCAATCTTATCCGCAAAGGGCCGGTGTGTATGCAGGTTTAACCTGTAGGTCAGCTGTTCAATCCCAGGTGTGAGGACTCTTCAGCCAATCAGTCCTTTAATTAGTAATCTAATTAGGGAGTTGCAGCGAAAACCCGCATACACAGCAGCCCTTTGCGCATAAGATTGGCCACGCCTGTCTTAGGGGCTCCATATACCACAGCTGATCTGTAGAAAAGAGTGACAAATGCATCACTATCCTCAAAATATGTGATTTAATATATTTTAATATGTTTTGAAAATTGAAATTCACAAAAAATATGTAGAGATTTGTACACGTGAAAAGGGCTTTACATATTTGTGGATCACGTTACCTTTGTCACCTCACTCCTATTTGCAGATTTTTCTCCAATTCCTACCGCAGCTGATCTGTAGAAAAAATACGTAAATACAAGGTGCAGCCATAATATATATCGATATCAGGATTTTAGATTTTGGTCATATCGCACAGCCCTAACGCCAACGTCTGCAAATTTGTGTATTGCATCACTTTTTCTATACCTGTATTTATTTAGACGAGTATACATTGCCCCTCTACATCAGTTTGTATTTCTGTATTTGTTTTATTCCTACTGAGAGAAAAAAATCCAGGCTGATCAAAAATGTAATCAGATATAAATAAGCTCTCATGCCTGTCTGCTTGTCTGTCTGTCTGCCTGTCTGCCTGTCTGCCTGTCTGTCTGTCTGTCTGTCTGCCTGCCTGTCTGTCCATCTGTGGCTGTATGGGGTTGGCCACGGCCACTGCTGTCTTTCTGCTGGACTCAGGGTGTTTGTGCTGGTACTGGTGGCTGTCTCTGTGCTGTGGATCCCTGTGGTTCAGGCCAGTCAGGGAGGCCAGCTCTTCATCTACATTCAGGCCATCAGCTCGTACCTGCAGCCACCCATTGCCGTAGTCTTCTTCGCTGGCTGCTTCTGGAAGCGAGCCAATGAGAAGGTGCGGAGCAGAGGATGGGGGGGGGGGGGGGGGAGCGTGGCATGCGTGTCACTTCCTGTATGGTGAGGCGGAGGGCAGTGCCTTGATGAAAACGCTTTGTGTACCTGCACAGGGCGCCTTCTGGGGCCTGGTGGTGGGCTTGCTGGCTGGTTTCATCCGGATGGTTCTGGACTTCGTGTATCCAGTGCCGCCGTGCTATGAGGCTGACCTGAGGCCCTCCGTGGTCAAATATGTGCACTACTTGTACTTCTCTATCATCCTGACTCTGCTCACCATGGGCGTGGTCGTGGTCATAAGCCTGGCAACAGACAGGCCCTCTCCCGGGCAGGTAGGCAGAACCAAGACTAGAGAACATGATGAGACTGAAACGGCACCTTCTGCGGGAGTTGTTTTCCTTTGGACCAGCGGCTGCCACATGTGGTGCCAAGTCAGGCTGGTGGGAGTTGTCTGCTGACGTGGGGGTCTCTCGACAGATTGATGGTCTTACCTGGTTCACGAGAATCCAGAGGATGGGGGAAAGTAGCAGGAGTCCGGCGGCGGAAGACGCCTCGGACATGGAGACGCCCGTCGGCAAAACTGGCGAGAAAGAGCCAGAACGAGACGCCTCAGGTAGGCCGAGAGTCCCGTGACAGGAAATGCCAAGAGTCCCAGCTCAGAGCTGCTGTCATCGTGACAGGAAGTGCGAGTATCGCGCCAGTGACGTGCTTACGCTGGGAACCCCCGCCGATGATGCGATATTGATGTGATTTCCATTGAGGCAGGGAGGTGTTTTCCCTGCGTTTGGGTGCAGTGGGTGTGGTGTTTTTAGGTTATTTTAAACTCGTTTTTCTGGCTTTCCCTCAGTGTCACGCAGTGAGTCACACCTTGACGTTACGGCAGCAGATTCCAGCTCTAAGGGGCATGCCGGAAGCCATTCCAAACTCACCACCGCCATCTTGTGGCTGTGTGGGATGGATAGACCTAAGAAGAGCAGCGGTGCCCGGCAGGTGCCCGTGGAGATGCCCACCTGCTCCCTGGAGGAGAACCCCTTAATGAGCCGCTTCATTGACGCCAACCTGGTTGTGTGTATGGCCGTGGCAGTCTTCCTGATTGGCTACTGGGCCTGACAGGAGTGGGCGACCAGGGGCTGCTGGGAGAAACTCATGTAAACACCCCGTATCTGCATTTCCCATCTGGGGACTGTGTGTCTGTCATACACGCACCACGCTGATATGCAGGCAGGGGGCGCTATTTTCAGCCAGCATCTGTAAACGACCTCTTTAGAATCACTGCTGTATGGTAGAATACAAGGATCAGTGCAGAATTGCATCTCAGCGTGTGTGCAGTGTCCAGATCTGATAATAATTGTGCATGTTGATGCAGGTGTCAGAGAGCAAAGATTAGATAAGAAGTTTTATATTATTTCCAGTTGGTCTTATTCTCTCATGATATACTGTGGTTGGTGTCGCTACTATTAACCACCAGGGGGAGCAACGCAATATTGAGTGGATTGAAAGTCAACATGTGAACTCTATCAAAACTACACTAATTATTAGTTTGTTAGCAAAATAGGTGATATTCTGTTAAAGTAACTGCTCAGCAATAGATATGGCAGTAATATAAAATGCTCTGGACCAGAGACAGAAAAACACTGGTTACAGTTTTAATTGTATTTATTCTGAGACGGGGTATATCAAAGCAATTGTGTATTTCTGAATAGCCAGATCTGCTGCAGTTACTACGGCATCAACAAATTATACATGTGAACGTGAGTGTTTGAGTTTCAGAGGCTTTTATTAAAAATAAAAAAACGAATTTTCTGGTGTGACTAAGGCAACGCAGTGAAACGCGAGAAGTTCATTTCGGGGGGGGGGGGGAGATTTGGGGGACAGGGGAGGGGCAGAGGCTGTACCATTTCACAGCGTGAACCCTGTGTGGGACAGCAGCTGCGCGTCGGTGCTTTTGACAGTGCGACGGCCATCTTACGGGAATGAGGGGAGGCTAAATGCAGAGTGGGGGGGGGGTAGCTTATAAAACACAGTGGGTAGAGAGTCAGAACGCTCTGCCTTGTGGGGTGGGGGGGAAATCGAAGAATCACATTGAGGAAAACCGAAATCACCCACAGTGCTCAAAGTGTATTTTTAACTCATTCAGAATTATACCGCATCTTTGGTGATAAGACACTATTCTTAAGAAACTTGCGGCCCGTTCCGGAAAGTAAGGTGGCACGCTGAAATGAGGTCTTCCATCGTCCTTATGATGGGCCCCGTGCGCCGCCAAAGCTGCGCAGACGTCCAGGAGGAACCGGGCCATCCCACGCCGCTCCTTTTACGCCGGAAGGGTCCGTAAGTCGCTTCCTGATCTGGTGTCCGCTTCCACGGCAGAAATGCAGAGGTATGGCTGGAATGTGCATGTAAATAAATAGAGAGGGGGGTGTGCTCTGGGGGCTATGTCCGGGGGGCGGCACGGGTCTCCCGGAGACAGCTGCGGTGACCCGTCTCGGCACACCGGCGGCTTTCACTTTGGTATGCGTCATTCCCCCCGCCGCCCAGATGCACTTGTAAAGTAACAGCTACACAAAAAAATACACATTTTCCTTGGAAAAAAAACACATTCCATATACCACCAGAAACACCTTTTGCACAATATTAAGCCAGAAGAGAAAGATTCTCCATCCGAATACAGAAGCCCCATCACCTATGAGTGAACTCGTCCACTCAGGGGAACTGTCACGTTCAGCTGTTTCCAGACGGAGAGAAAAGTGTCCCCAAGTGAAATGCTTATCTAAGGGTCTTTGGTCATCTACTCCACGTCCTAGTCACTGTTCCAGCAGGCACACACCTGAAGGTGCAAGAGTTCGTTGGTGCCCGGCAGGGTGCGTAAGGAGTGCACTGGAGTGAGGATGTTTTAAATGAGATAAGGGGGGAGGGGTCTTTGGCCAACTGAGATGTGGAAAGTGGGCAGGGTGTGTTGGGAGGGGCACGGCCTCCAGCTCAGAGGGCGGTGCTCTCCGACTCGAGCTCGGGGCCGACTGCTGGGGGCTCCACAGTGAATTCCAGCGTGCGGCTGAGACCCTTCAGCACCTGAGTGCCGTCTGCAGGGAGGATCACAAGCACGGGTGAGTGCCCGCTAGTGGCATCTCTGTCATCTATGTCAAGTGACATTGTGCTCATACCTTAGCCTGACTGAATCTGCCCAAATTCGCCCTGCCTCTCTGGCATACCCATGCATACTTACGAACATATAAATTTGCTCTCTAAAGCAGGGGTTAGGCTGTCTTTTCCAGAATGGGCCATTGTGTGGGCAGGTTTTTGCTGCAACTCCCTGATTAGAGGATAATTGGCTGAAGAGTCCTCACACCTGGGTCTGAACAGCTGACCAAAAGGTTTTCTCAAAAACCTGCATACACACCGGCCCTCTGAGGATTAGACTGCCCATCCCTGCTCTAAAGTACAGATCATTCCCAAAAGTTCACTTAGGTAGATACCTGGTGACTCCTCAGGAAGTGTCTCTGCAGCACCAGACATGCAGGTCAGTGAGGTCAGCAAATGGGGTTAAACAAACAAACAAACAAGACAGACGTGAGGTCAGTGTGCTGCCTGCCGCAGCGCTGGCCCTGGCCTGCATGTCAACCCAGCACATCCTATAGCCAGAGAGCTTACAGAAAGACCGGCAGGTTCTGTCATTAGCCCAGCGTGTTGGGAGAAAACGGCGTTCCAGAAATATGGAATATTAAGGGCTTGCAGATGATTCTTCCCTCCCCGCAGCGATTAGAGCTCCCGGTCGCGATGCAAGCTCCGGGACAGACCGGCATTCGGACTTTGGCAGTCATTAGCGATCCCTCTGCGCGTGAGCAGCGTGATTAAACGCAGCGGTTATGCAAGCATCCTGAATGGCCGAACACAAGCACGAGACCTGCTGGCCGAAGGTGAAGATGGGAATGACAGGTGAAGGTGAAGATGCCTGGAAAGCAGTGAAACCAAAAGGCAGGCCCAGAGCAGTAGAAGTTTCAAGCTAGCCAGTATGCTAACAGGCGTAGCGAGGAGAACTCGCAGAGAGAGTCTAAGATCCACGTTCTGGAGAACCGTAGGTACTTGACCGCCAGGTACTTCATGAGATCATGAGATCCATATGATCCTGAGCATACTTTGGCTTTCAGGGCAGTGGTCATATGACCGTGTGCAGACCGGATTGCTGCATATAATGCAGAATAAGGCGCTGATGTTATTGCTGACCAGAGGAGGGGAGGTCTTACCTGAGGAGATCTTGGAGGTGCTGCGGCACACGCCGTTGGTGCCATCGCTGCCATGGGTGGCTGGCTGTGGGGGAGGGGGCACGCTAGGCCGATGGCGGGGCTTAGGCACGGGCCGGGGGCGGGGCAGGGAGCCAGACTGGTAGCTGGGTGAAGCGGGTGGAGCACAGGAGATGTCGGGGAGCCAAGTGTCGGGCGGCGGAGTGTCAGGGGGTGTCGGCGTGCTGGGGGGGGAGGGGTCCGCGCTGGATTCGCCCGTCCCTGGGGTGGTGGTGGCAGCTTTGGGCTGGAGGGGGGGTGTGACCTGCATGGGAGGCTGAGGGGGCGGGTGACTGGGGGCCTGGATGGGGAGCTGATTGGTCGAGTGGCGGCGAGCCATGCTAGACGGCGGGGTTAGACTCTGTCCCGATGGGGAAGAGCTGGGAATTGGCTTGGCCAATGGGGCAGACGGCTGTGCCGCTGATGAGGATGCTATTGGCTGGCTGCTGGCCTGTCCCGGAGGGGGATTGGTCGGTTTGGGTGGGGCAGGGGCAGGCTTTTTCACACCTACAGGTACAAAACAAAGAGAATAAAGATGGCTTCCAGTTTCACGACACGTTAATAAAGAAACACTATAGAGGTCAGCCAGCTGGTGTTAACAGAGAGGAGAGTCTCACCTTTGCGCACCATGAGGGGACTAGGGGCCCGCGCGCCGGGCTGGGGGACACTGAGCGGCCCCGAGCTGCCGCCCGCACCATAGGGGTTTGGTGGCAGGCCACCAGAGAACCCGTTCTTCTGGACAGGGGATGTGGAGCTATGCAGGAACAAATGGCCATCAGGCTATTGCATCTGGGGGCCTGGGCCGACCCCAGAAGGGCACCCTCACACAGCTATACTAAAATTAGCACACACCACTAAAAGGCCACCTGCCGGAGGGAGTGTAAATGCTGAAGCCAGTCCGACAGCCCAGAGCATGAAGCAGGAAAGCATTCCAGAGGACTATGCCATGCTGCGGGGGATGGGGGGGGTGGGGGGGGGTGCAACAGTGACCGGCTCCTCATCAATCTTCTGACTGGATTTTCATGCAAATTCACTTTAACCTGAACTGGAAATTGCATGCAAATTTATTTGTCGTCTTCTGCTGATTGGAAGTTTTAGCCAGGCCTTGATTGGCCAGTGGACCGTGCCTTGGTCCCCACGTTCCTCACCTGTCCACCTCTGTGCGTTGGGTGGGGAGCTCCTGCAACGCGACACCTGTCTCCGCCCCTTGTGCGGACTCTGACGACAACACTTCCTGGCCTGAGCCCATTGGCTGAACCTGAGCATGTGTTAGTGCCACCCCAGTGCCCTCTGTTGGGGGCAGGGGGGGTTGAAAGGCAGGCGAGGCAAGGGGCTTTTTATAAGTGTTGGCTCTACGTGGGGTGTGGTCCAATAGTTTGTTAACTAAGCTAGGAGAGCAGAAGAGGGTGGAAGGGGTAGACAGTGAACATACAACATTGCCATGATGGAACGGCAAGGCAGACAGTCAATTGTCCCCCAGGAGAGTTGAATAGGGGGGACTGAAGGCTACAACAACAGAGCAGTAAGAAGCCTTGCAGAGTACCTGTCTCTGCGTGGACTATCAGAGTCCAGGACAGCCATGCTGATGGGCCTCTTCTTGTCTGTGGTCCCGAAATCCATATCCGTGGGGGTCAGAAAGCTGGTCGAGACGGTTGTGGAACTGGGCATGACGAACATGCCTGACACGTTGAAGTCCACCTCTGCGGAGAGACAAGAAGCTCTGTGATCTGCCAACCGAGAGTGGCATGGGGGATGGTGACAGACACCAACAAGCAGAGGCTAGCTGGCTAATGCCAACTGCACAAGCAGAAGGAGGAGCACAGCTAAAGAAACACAGCTTCTTACAACATTTATGCTGTTTAACAGAGTCAAGAAATTTTGTGGCAGATTCAGCATTTTTCCTAGGTTCCCTCTGGTCTGTGCTACTCAGAACCAGAAGCAAAATCCAAACCGGGCTCTGAGCTCTGATCTGGAAGCCGTCATGCTGACACGGAGCCCTAGTAACATGGCAAGCGTGGGGCAGGGGCTACCGTCTGGGAAGAACCAATCAGCATGCTGGATGATGGGCTCAATGATGGTCATCACGTGCACCGAGGTGGCAGCGGCCATCTCCGCCAGGCTCCTGCAGGGGGGGGGGGGGGGGACGAAACGGCGATGATGTGGCACGTTAACACCACGATGAGTAATAAGTGGGAGGGGGACAGTTGCAAATAGCCCAGGAGTCTTAGCCAGAAGAGCAGTAGACAGACAGCTACATCACTGCTGTCTTTGCACAGTCAGCCATGGAGTCGATTCTTCCATGAACTTTAAATCAAAGGTGGTGCTCAGACACGCTAATGAAGCTAAAAGCATCATTAGTAAATTACTTAGTAATTTTTAGATCTAGCTAATGTGGCTGTAATGGGCTGCAAACATCTTTGGCTTGAAGTTCTGTGCACATCTAACACAACATGGAGAAACTTTCTGGGATACTCCTGCTTGCAAATCCCTGTAATGGGTCGTGCCTAAACGGTTACAAATGCTGAAAGCTTCCTTCTCACCCCTCAGTTTTGGCCCACAGAAGGTTGGGTCCCAGCACGATGGCGATGTTGCTTGGCGTCATCTTGTTGACCTCGCTTTCCTGTGCCAGCCTGGCTAAGAACTTCACCAGATACCTGCGACAGAGCATCCGGACCATGAGTGTCGCCGATTCCGAGCTACAAGAGACACCGGAGACGCTGGGCGGCACGGGTAGGGCCACAAAGACAAACCCCCCCACCTGAAGTTGGCTTTGTTGTGCTTCGGCAAGCTGTCACATGTTACCCACAGTGCCTGGAGTCTCTTGTCTGGGTCGGACATGCTGCGGACACACGGGACCCGACAAACCTGTTTGGTCAGAACCATCAGTTGACTGGACTGGTAGTCCTAATATCTGGTGGGGTGGGGGCGTCTTACTTGGAAGCTTGTATCCACTCCTCATACAACTCGAAAGTCATGAGAGGTTCTGGTAGCTCCCTCAGGTAGGACTTAAGAGCACCTGAAACACGAGGACACAGGATGTAGAACAAGCAGACTCTTCACCTCGCTCCCCCAAGCAGGGTGTGAGGGACCCACTCCGAATTTCACAGACACTGGTTCCAGCACAGCTTGCCCTGCCCACCACATCTTGTTAGCCAACAGAGCTGGACCTCATGCCAGCGTCTGAGGGTGTAATGAGCCCAAATCACTCGTGGAGTTATATTCTGCTGTCATCACTCAGGTCGGGGTCATTTCCTCCTCAGGTCCTCGAACTGACACTAAACCCACTCCAGGATCGTCATGGCTGGATGTGCATCACTAACTCATCATCGCAACCGTGCTAGCCAGTCCGGAACATGCCGCAGACAGCCACAACCACAGGGATGCTACAGAGGGGTTGTCAGGGGGAACTGCGTCGACGGGCCATACCAGCGACAGCGTGGGGGTCGGAGTAGAACTCCTCCAACTGTGAGGTGGAACAGTCCAGAGCCGCCTTCAGCTTCTTCAGCTTGGAAGCTCCAGCCGCGATGCGGAACAGGCCCTGGGGCACAGGGACACCGGTTAGGGCTGGATGCTTGCTCCCCTCTCCCCATGGATCAACTTACACTGATGAATGTTTGAGGCAGACATGGGCCCTTTTGTTTGGGGCCGGCCCCCACTTTCAGTGTCAGTCGCAGGTGACAGCTGGCTAGCAGGCCGTGTGTTTGTAATGCGAGTGGTCCGCGGAACAGAACCGGAACCCTGAGCACGAATAGAAATCAGCCGCCCTCTCCGGTATCCTGAAGATACCACAAGGGCGTTTACACCTGGGCGATACTCCCTCATGAAATCCCCTGTAATCCACAGCTTTTCAGGTGAGGAACTAAAGGCTTCAGAATAAATGGCTCTGGATTTAATGGGAAGCCCTGCCCCCACCCATCACTTCTTGAGGCCCCACCCACCTCCTCCTTCATGCCCGTCTCCAGCAGCATCATGACGCACGCCTCTATGGGCAGAGCGATCTCCCTTCCACTGCGCTTCAAGTGCTCGCTCAACGATGTCCCAAAGGCCGGCTTCTCTGTCCATGAGTCTGCAGGTCAAAGGTCACGGGGCACTAATGTTATCACGTGACAGGACATGTGCCATTAGATTGACATATGGGGGGGGGGGGGGCTGTGTGGTTCTCCATGGCAAGACACTGAACGGAAGGTCACTGGTTCAAATCCTGCTGCCAGCAGAGTGATGTCAAGGCCTTTCTTTCAAACACAGAAAGCAGGCATCTCAAAGACCTTTATGAAGTGTTGGCTTTGTTTAATAATCCAGGCAGAACAGAGCAGCCATTTAGCAAACTTGAAAACAAAAGCCTGAACAACAGAATTAATCTCTCAGTGTTTAAACCCCCCCCAACTCCGCCCCATCCCGCCCTGTGTCCCAAATTCACTCTACAGACAGGTTTTTACACAGATAAGCAGAAGCCATTGGAAACTTCCAGTATTCTTCAGAGGAACAGAACAGGGGGCACGGAAAGGCAGGTGGAGTAGAGTGGGGCAAGGGGCGGGGGCAAAGCGGGCAGCCTACCTTGCTGTGCCCGTATGTTTGGCAGCACCTGGTCCAGCAGAGACAGGGCCCTCCGGTGGAAATCAGCCTGCGCCTCCAGCAACTATGAAATGACACACGGGGCAGAGTCTCAGCCAATGACAGGAAAGGGAACGCGGACGGGCACGACTCCCAGAGCCCCACCCCCTCGGCAAGGTGGGGGGCACGGCAGCCGGTCACACGAGAGCCTCTTAAGTGGATAAACACGGAGCGTAATCACATGGTCTGCTTTCCGGGCAGGGGGGAGCATGCAAACACCCCCCCCCCCCACCCAGGTGTCACATGACGACGGTGGTCCACAGCTGGGGGCAGGGCTAATGAGTTTGCTGAACAGAATCAGGAAGTGGGAGCCGCACAGTGGATAGTGGGGCGGGGGCAGCATGAGGGGAGGCGGAGCCAGAGGTGGCAGGAGCACGCACCGTGACGTAATAGCGGGCGTAGTCTCCCTCCTTGTAGGAGAAGGTATACATATCAGCAGCCAACTGGTCCTGTGGGGGAAGGGGAATCACATGCTGTTAGGCTTTCCAGGACCACTGGGGATCTCTCCCCCTGAGTAACGCAGACCCCCCTCACACTGAAGCAGACGCTGTACCTTGCAGATCTCCACTTTGTTCATAGCCTCGTCTACCTCCTCCTTGATGGCCTCCACCTTAGCGGTCAGGCCCGAGCTGTTTGTGGTGGACACCATCGACTTGTTCTGCTGCAGCCACCTGGAAAATGCCCAGCAGAGAGCTGAGACCCTCGGGCCCCCTGCAGACTCACCGATCACACTTGCCCATGCCGGGGCATTCTGGGAAATGCGGTCCCTCCTCATCACCTGGCTCTTGCAGAGTCGTAATCCAGCACCAGTTTGGCCAGCTGTTTCCTCTGCTTTAAGATGTTGGGGATCTCCACCTGGAATGGCATGGATGGTCACATGACCACTGCAGCCTAGTCTAACTCAGGACTGCAGATGAAAATCCCTCATCCCTCTACTGCTTATCCAGATACCTATAATCTCAGGGCTAGAATTTTGAGGTTAATCTAGACTGTAATTAATTCTTCAAAAGCTCTTTAAGTGAAAGAAACACTTTTTTTTCCCCAGATGAAACATAAGTTAACAGGCAACCAGACTTCAAAGTATTTCAGTAGGGCTTCTAGCCCCTGCAGGTGTCCTGGGGGAGGGCGTGCCTGTATCTGCCGGTGCCCCACCATGCACCACGTCCAGAGCCGGTGACCGCAGCAGCCCAAAGATTCCACTCCCACCAGGACAGAAGCACAAGGCTGACAGCCCCCCCAGCCTGTGGGAGTCAGTGACACCCTTATGAGGCGTTCCACAGCTCCCTGCGACTCCCGCTCACCTCAGCCAGCTGGTTCAGGGGGTCCATCACCTCCCTCTCTATCTGCACCTCGTGCTGCATCAGCTCTGACGCCAGCCTGTTCTCCACGTCCCCGCAGAGCTCCATCGTTTTGCTGCCAGGGAAGCGTGACGGCAGAGCGTGTTAGCAAAAGCGCCAGCGGCTGGTGCGCAATGCCGCCATGAGCCGACCGCACCATCTTGCCCAGTGGGGGGGGGCGCCAACGGGAGGCTCACCCAATGAGAGACTCGTCGCCCAACTGCCCGGCCCCGTCCAGCATGGCCTGAGAGAGTGCTGTCTGTGGGAGCTTTTTCTGCAGGGGGGGGGGGGGGGGGTGACAGTGCAGTGCATTATGGGACTGGCAGTGGAGCCACAGTGACAAACTGACCGTGATCCAACATATTTACTAAACAATACGTATAAATGTATTACTGCATGCATCAGCTGTTAAATTTAAACTAACTTAACTCTCAGCTTTTTAAAGCTTATATCTTCACAGTTTTGGGTAACCATTCACTTAAAGTAACCTTCATAATGCATTGTAATGCATTCATAAAGAATTATAAACATGGCTATAACTATTTATAAAAAGGCATAATACATTATGAATTATACATTATGCATCATGAATGCTTTATGAAGCTCATTTATAGAGCACTATAGACACCTGCATAATGCAGTACATCCTTAATTCTTATTCTGACCATTATAATGTGTTATGCCTTTCTATAAATAGTTATAGGCGTGTTTATAATACCTTATGAATGCATTATACTGCGTTATGACGGCATCTATAATGCACTACACGAGTGCTTTAAAAAAAGGGCTTTGAAACGTCTTTCAGCACACATATGCTTCAGAAACCTACATGTATATAAATATCATGCCTTTACATGTCTTAGAATGTAAAGAACTCTGGAACATTTCTTTAGGTAAGGATTTGCTGGGGGAGGGGGTGACGTACCTGCCGCTTCTCTGCATCCGTCCCGATGTGGCCCTGGAGGCACGTGACCATGCGCTTGTGCGTGTTGTGGGACACCAGCCGCACGATGTCCATGCGCCGCTCAATCTGCACAGCGACGACACACACGGCACACTGACGTCTGTGCAATTCAGATGCCTAACCGTGACTGACACATGGAGGACGGCAGGCCGATGAAGATGCCTTTCTGATGTCACCACACAGCTCGGGCAGGTCCCAGGAATACCCAGGTGCATGCTGGGCAATACCCCGAGGGCCATGAGTGCCTGTCATTCCGAGGCAGGGAGGAGATGAGCTCAGCATGGTTTTGTGAACAGTGGCTGGGTGGAGGCACCTCGCCTCTGTTCACCGTCTTCCACCGTGACCTCAACCTGGCGTTCTGATGTCCTGAGCCCCAGGCCTGAATTTCGACGCAAAGCTGCTGATCTCCTGGCCACGGGGGGAGGCTGCCACTAAGTGAAAGGACATGCGGAATGTTCCAGAAGGTTTCTGATGCACAGGCCACCCTGGTTAGAGCGATGCCAAAAACACAAGGGCGTTCTCCCAAGGCCGCAAATCCTCGCCGCCATAAACAAGAGACGAGAGCACGACCCAAAACAGAAACACAGCCAGGGTGACCTTTAATCAGAAACGTGACAGGACAGGCCGGACATCCTCTCCAGTCGGGATGGTGTTTGCACTGTGTCAGGAGACAGCCAGGCTGGGTGTGGTGACTCAGCCCACTGTAGGGCGTAACCAAACTCGCCGGGTCCCTCTGCCCGCCTTACTGCAGCGTCCGTACACCCAGATTTAATGCCAGTGCAACAAGGGAATGTGGATTACGGGCGAGATACTGCCATCACCGGCGGCCAAACTGTTACCACGGAGGTCCAGGGTAATGCACGGGGAGATACCTTCTGGAAGGTTCCCTCACGCCCTCTGTTCTGCATGCCTTCTACCCCGTCGTCATTTGTTTTCTGTTCTGTACCATAAAATACATGTTTTGCCATAGCCGCCGTGGGGAGGATACAGACAGGCCTGCTCAAAGCCCAGCACAAAATACCAAGGCCTGCTCGCAAAGGCCTGCATTCCTGTCATGCTGCACACGATCCCACAATGCGCCGGATAGAGAACCAAACACCGCCCCCGCCCCCCCGCCACGGCACGATGCCAGCCCGCGTAGCCAGTGGGCCTTTCAGGTGCGCAGGACCGTGTGTTTTATGCATTTGTTGGAAAGACAGATTTGTTTGCTGGAAAATGAAGTTTGAATTTCCGAAATGAGGAAAAAAAAAAAAAGCTCCACTTAAAAATGCCATGAATGAATGTGCATCCGTGTCAATTCTGACATGAAACCGACTGCCACAGAAAACACATTTCACCATCCACAGATGACAGACTGTCGTGGTCAAACCCTAGGTGGTCCTGCTCAAACGTATCGCTCGCTGCTGCCACATATACAATCATTCTAATGCTGGCCGAGTTACATCAGCCACGGGAAACAGCACATCTGCTCATTGTTTACCACTAAGACGCAGCGCAGGTCATGTGACGCAATGTTCAGCGTTCGCCATCAAATCGAGACCCACAGCACACGTCGAGAAAGCTCCAGCAGAGCCTGTGAAAGGGACGGGCTGTAAAGACGCTATAAACGTGGGAGGAGCAGAGGGCCCTGGAAGGCGGGGGGGGGGGGGGCACACGCCAATTGTGTACCTGGAGGAGGTCATCGCTGAGGACTTCTGTTTTCTCGGCTCTGTGAAGAAAGAAAAGCAGCGAAATTAGATTCTGCTGAAGACCAGGTTCACATCCATAGGAAGGCAGCAGCCCAGCCCGAGAAGATCAAGCCCGATGAGACGACGTTCCCACAGGAAGATGCTAATGAACCTGGCAGACGGACTGGAGAGCTTCAGGCCAATCGAGGTAAAAATACAGGAGCAGCTGTCAGTGTGCCCTTCCGGGACACATGGCTGATCAAAATGGCAGCAGAATTCTCTACATCCCCAGATCCGGCCAGCTAGTAGAAGCGCGGTCCCCTGACCACCGGACCCATTTATTTATTTTTTGCAGATACTTTTATCCAAAGCAGCATACAAGTGAGGAAAACTTGACCAGGGCGAGTCAGCATTCCTCGAGTGGCTGGGGTAGAGTGGCACTATTACTCTGACGACTGCAGGATTCAAGCCCACGACCTTCTGGACACAAACACAGATCTGTTATGCACTGAGCCACACATGCCCCTATGAAACTCTGAATTCGGAACTGTTTCACCACTTTACTCGAAAGGTTTGAGGAACCATTAGCAAGTTAATAAGAGCCGTGAGTGCAGGAGAGCTTCTGAGAAGATCATCAATGACATCGCTGCTTTAAAAATGGCCACCATGATGGAAGCTTAAACCTCTGGCCTAATTCACGCGCTACCGTTCGACAGGCTCTACCCTGGCAACCTTATCGCCCAGGGAGACAAAGTACGAGCAGCTCATGTGACAGGATCTTCGCAGAATGACTGCCGGGGGGGCAGTCTGCTGAAAGGCTAAAAGGTTCAAAGGTCAGACAGGGAGAACAGCTTCCCACAGCGAGGCTGCTGATCCAGATAACAAGCCAAGGTTGCTAGGGAAAGTGACACCTTAGGAAAAGGAGGCATTCTATGGTCATTTAGTTTTTCCCTGGAATAAAAACAGAATTCCTACGCTACATGCTCCCTCTCGACCCTGTGACATCACGGGGAGGAAACACCCACAATTGTGTAAGCGTGTCTATTGGCTGGAGCGAGTCAGGGAACTGGAGGAAGCGGGCATGGGGAAATGGCCCCGTTCTGGCAGGATTCCCGTTCCCAGATCAGGGAGACGCTCCCCTGGTATGCATGGATCTGCAGCATCTTCAGCTTCATGGAGGAGGGGGTAAGGAGCTCACAGCTGTGCGACCCCCTCAAACCCGAGTCTCCTGGGGACCTGGGGGTGTCCCTTACTCCTCCCCCCTGGTGCCAGGGAACACTCCTTCCTGCTACCTGCCTGACACTCTGTTTGTTGTGGCAACATAGCCAGGGGGAGGTTGGGCGAGTACTTTCGGCTACACCCCACGGATTCCTGCGGACAGCTCAGCACCGCAGCCCCGCCCCATCGCCCCAGGTACCGCCGAAGCCTGGCTGAGGGGGGGGGGGGGAACTTGGCTGTCAGCATGTCAGCATTCCTGCCAGACCGGGAAGGTGACATCAGGACCTCCCACCCTCCTGAGCGCAGGAATAGCGAGGCATCGAGAACAGGGTCCTGCGAGAAGCTGCTTAACTCGGCGGCAAAGGGCTGGAAAGACCCGGAACACCAGCTTCGGGTTACTCAGGGTTCTTTTTCTCGTGGTCGTGACAGGAAGTCCGTTACGGGAACCGCCATAGGTCACGGGAACAACAACGCACGCCCAGCCAGGCAGAGCGGCACTGAAAAAGCACCGTGGAAACATCTGGAAAGCTGCAGGTCCTTTTGAGCCAGGCACGGAAATTAAAGCAGAACAGCAGAATAAGAGATCCCTTCAGAGATAATATCAAAGCAGGCTTTTCCACAACAGCATCGCCCGTAGCAACCAAGCGACAGGACAGGATCGCTACAGTTACCGTTATAGTTATTAAAAGTGCCGTCCGTGAACAGATGAGTCAGTCCCGGGGAAGTTAGGATCACGGGGGTTCGGGTGGGGGATGTATGCAGGCCGTGCTTGTAATTAAACCGCAGACAGTCCTCCCATACAAACCATGACCTCTACGTTAACGGGGAACAGGGGGAACTTTCATGTAAAGGTTAGTAACCATTTGTGTTTACATGCAAGGGAGTTATCATAGCACAGAGAATATTACGCCCCCCCACCCCTTCTCCGGCACTGGTGGCATAAACAGAATGCAAGCCCGACAGATGTTTTCTCAGCTCCTGCAGCCTGGAGTTACCTAGAGGCAGATTTTAACAGACCCAGCATTAGCAGGTAACACTGGCGGGTAACACTGGCGGGTAACACTGGCGGGTAACACTGGCGGGTAACACTGGCGGGTAACACTGGCGGGTAACACTAGCAGCCTGTAGGACAGCAAACAGGTGGAAGGAAAAGCAGCAGCAGTGAACAGCACAGGGCTCAAACAGCCACCCCCTGTGTGTGTAACAGGCAGGCACGCTTCAGGCGCCAAATCCGACACGGAAAACATCTGGGGTTACAGGGGAGGGGAAGGCGGACAGACCGTGACCCTGAGAGTCTGCTGCTGTCGGAGCTCAGCTCAGGACAATCTGGCCCGTGGCAAGGCATATAAACATCCCCCTGTAAATAACAGAGGGGTGGGGGGTAAGAGTCTCCTCTGGGGGGGGGGGGGGGGGGGGGGGGGGCAGCGCAAGATGGAGCAGCAAACCAGTCCCAGAATGGCAGACCAAGAAACACAGGCACCAGTCGAAGCTTCAGTTTGTACAATATCACATTATTAAACTATAACATCAATAAAGCAGGATATGAACACGTTTCCCTTCCTGTATCCCTGCAGCAGCCGCAGATAACCCCCATGCAAGGTGACGCAGAGGGCAGCTGAAATATACATGCTCAGTTCCCTGAAACGCCACTGAAGCGGCCGCAGGAAACGGCGCGCAGACAATCAGGCCACCAGGGTAGCAAACAAGCGACGCATCCCCACCCTCCGTCTTAGGGCCCAGGAGGGGATTAGGCTTTAAAGACACACCCGACAGAGTAGATGCAGGCAGGGTAAAGGTGGCGACAGGGAGGAGAGCGAGCAGGGGATTTCGGGGGCTAACAAGCAGGTTTATTTACGTGGAGGAGCAGAGAGGAGAAGACCTCCCTGCACAGTCTGCAGCCTCCACTTATCAAAGTTTGCATGTCGCAGGGGAGAGCAACACATGGGGCATCGGGGGACACAGTGACAGCAAACAGCTTCACACACATTTAGTAATCATGGGGGGCCCATGACCCCCCCCACAGTCTGACTCGCCTGTCCCTGACAATAGAGTAGCAGAAGCGAAACAGAACAGACTCCATCAAAGCGGAGAATCACACATAGGTGATGGGTTCGAGCCCCAGGAAGCATGTTTCTACGCCCCGTGGGACACAGCGTACCCCCAAGACCGTGGCGATACCCTTGGCTGCTCTGCCCATGATAAAACAATCCATTAAATCACCTTTGTAAAGATATAAAGGGAATGGAAAGAACAGGCCCAACGCAGGAGGGAAGCAGGAACACGGCCAAGCAGGAGCAGGGCATGCTGGGAAGGCAGTGGATCGATGGCAGGCCATTAGCGGGCCATTAGTGGCAGATGGCTAAAACAGCCACGCCGGCATGCTCCTCCGCTGAGCGGAGAGCTTTATTCACGTCGTGCTACTTTAGCACAAGACACAGAGAAAATACACACAGTCAGCCTGTTTGGCAAGCTGGACCAGAACTGATCTGTCCACACGTCGCCCCCTATCAGCAGACTGCCAGAGCTGCGGGCATCTCCCTACCTCACTGTCCCTCAGCTTATTCCTACCACAGGGTCTCAGATTCTGCTTGTCCACCAAATATCGCCCCGGATGTCACTGAGCCATTCCTCAGGTGATACCAAGTCAGCTGTTTTTTCCTCACTGTTGGATCACGGGGTAGGAAGCTCCAAGAGGTCAGCTGACCCCAGTCCACCCCACCCCCCAGTTCTGTTACCCATTAAAACAGGCAGCTTAGCCCCAGCTAAAGCACTAGGCAGCACCAATGACGACGACGATGATAATGATGATGATGATGATGATGATGATCTCCCTGCTACTAGAGCAGAGTGGCTGCATGGTGACCAGGCATCCCATGATGACCCCCCCCACCCTCCCCAAAACAGCGGGCTTGATGGTGACCAAGACCCAGAACATTTTCCCCACTCAGACTTCTCTGTAAGCAGAGATCTTGGGGGATCTGACTGAACATCATGCGGACATCATAGGTACAAAGCACCGGAGAATCAGCAGGACCTCGCCATATGCAGCCCTGCCCTGTTATGACGCCTTGTGTCCTGCAGGTGTCGCTCTCTCACGCAGCCTCTGCCCTGTTACGGCCCCCCGCCCTGTTACGGCCCCCCGACAGCACAGCCGGCTGCTCCGGGCCCCCGGCTGCTTGCTAACATCACCGCGGCTTATCAGCTTTCACGAAGCTGGCAGATTCTCTCCACATTCTTCTCTGACGCTTCTTACCGGGAACTTTGAGTCACGGTGAGAGGAATGTAATCTCAGCCATAAACATTGCTTTCCAAACAGCACACAGGTGTGAAGTCAGTAAAGGGCGGCCAAACAGCACACAGCGTCTCGCTCCGCCCAGCTGCGTGTGGTCATGGTCGCCATGGCAACAGCAGGGCATATCAACTTCCTAACTGGGACTCGCTAAGGAGTCAGTGGGGGCGGAGCCCAAGGAGCACTAACACTTTAACATGGTATCAGCAGCGTAATGGCCGACAAGGGTCCCGAAGCTTCTCTCACAGTCAGCAGGCCCCCGTCCAGCCTCCCCCGAGAGTCTCTGACTCCCTGTGGCCACACTGGGGGAGTATATGACTGTTGTAAGGAGGTAACCATCTTTGCAGGGACGTTCAAAGGGACGCAGCTGCCAGCCGGTCAGCCGAGAGGAAAAGTACCCCACTCTAAGGTCCAACAGCACAGCTGCTCCTCAGAACAGAGCCACCGCCTTTCTCACAGGCAAACGAAGGCGGTCTGAAACAACGATGACCAACAAGTGAGCAAAGGGAAGTAACAAGTTCCTCCTCATTAATTAACCACCAGCAGAATCAGTGCGTCTGCTGTAAGAGCTGCTGGATACGGCCGCCTCGGGATCGGCAAGGCGGCTGCTCTGCGCAGAGAGACGCAGCCGGGCACCAGCGATGTATCTAGGATGGATCAGGAGAGGGGCGATCAGAGAACCGCGCACACAAATCAGCGGCTGACTGACAAAAAGCAGACAAGCCGGCCGGCGTGGAGGAAACAGGGCTGACTACTTTCTCGAAAGAGTGCCAATGTCACCTATGAGGCCCGGATTACACAGGGCAGGCCTGGAGGAGGACACAAGATAGGGCAGAATACCAGAGCAAGTCGACGCCCGACGCCTTTTAACAATCCACACGGATCACAGTCCGGCCCGGAAACCGCAGAGCTGTGATTACTATCACTTGCTGGGGTATGTAAGGGATGGCCCAGTAGGGGGCACCATCGCTTCACAACTCCAGGGCTGGGGGTTCGAATCCCACTTCCTCATGATGCGTGGGTCTCCTCACACAGTCCAAAGACGTGCAGTGAGCATATTTAGCATCTTTAAATGGGCTGTGGCGTGTGCGTCTAAGAGCCTGGCACCCTGCCCAGGGTGTAACCCAGTCCTGTGAAGCTTGGTATAGGCGCTTATCCCCCAGGATAAATGGGAAAAATAATGGAGATGTTTCCCCGCCTTAGTCCCAACACGCATCTGCAGTGTTGATCCAAAGCACACAGCCTCCATTACAAAGGCGCTATCACAGTCTGTCTGTGATCAGGGTGAATCTGATTAATGCACTTTCCAGCAAACTCTGCTCCATCCCTCAACTTCCCCAACTCTGACATTCAAGGAATCTTTGAACTGCTTCCAGACATGCTTGGAGGAGGTCATCGGGGGAAACGAGGGAGTAGATTTAACAAGAGGTGGAGAAAAACACGAAAAAAACAGCCTCAGACTGAGACAGCAAAGAGGCGCCGGATCGCCGATCACAGAAACGTCAGTAGCGTCACTCAGCTGCACGGCTGGTCCGTTTCCATCTCACAACGGCATTTTCCCGTTTCACCCCCCACTTCAGGGAAGTTCAGAGGATTGCCTGGGGGTATGAACAGGACGCTCCACACTCCCAGTGCGACAGAGTGAAAAACGTATGCTGGGGGCTTCTGACAAGTTTTCAAATATCGCTATATGTAATACAATCTGCATCTGATACAATCTCCATCTGAGGCAGATCAAACAAACTCAGCCGCAAAGGCTGCTTTGCATGGAAACCCCCTTCGGGGAACACGGCCTGCCTTTCCCAGGCAAATCGGCTGCTTTGCTTGGCCATTTCTGCTAAACGTCAACCACCCCCCTCCCCATTACAGTTAGAGGCCGAAGCGCAGCTTTTATCGGGTCCTTCTTATCGGGGGAGCGTCAATCAACGCAGAGATGGAGCTTAGAGAGCCGCAGATGCCGGAGGATTAGTAGCTCCAGCCAACCGGCGAGACAAGCCGGACCGGGCCGATTTTAACCCTCGGAAATCATAGGCACACGAGCCCAGGGCTTCCAACACCCCGTCCGGGTGCCGCTCGGCTCGGTTCGTTCCGACGAATCACGTGACTGACGCCGAAACCTCACTCTGGTCGTCCCGGTGTTAGTTGGTTAGTAAACTCGGTCAATAACTCGGGCAAGCAGCTGTCAAATCATTGACTACACCAGGCTTTCCAGCGAGCAACTTTTCCCACAATGAGTCATACTTTTAAAATCCAACTGGTACTAATAAGCAATATCAAAGTATGGAGCCGTCTACGTGTCAAGAACTTCGGTTTGAAAAACACACCACAGAGCAACTCTGGCCATCATTTGATCAGAAATATGTATAATTGGTTTTCGGTTCTCCAGGCCGAGCCTGACAGTCGCACGCCGGGTCTCAGTCCGCCTTACCCGCTGTACCTGCGCTTGGGGCCGCTTACCTTCCCACCGTCTGGTTGGCGAGCTGCTTCATCCGGTTGAACTGCTTCTTCATCTTGGCGTCTTTTTCCTCCCCGTCGTCTCCTCCACTGTTTTAAAAGTTTAAGAAAACAGCTGCGAGATCCGTCACCGGCCGGAGCTGAATGCGCGCTCCCGAGCTGCTGGCATCACGGACGAGCAGGACCGTGAGCTTCCCGTGCTCATTACCACCCAATCTGGTCACCTATGTGGCAAAGTTAGCGATCGGTCTAAGATGTCCGCCCCTTTACGTCTCGGTGCCTTACCAAAGCGACCGGAGCTTATGCGCTTGGGCGAGGCGAGCGCTGCTTGTTCTTAAAGCGGGCGGTCACGCAGCTCCGACTCTCGGCCCCTGTGTCTGCTTCCAGCTCCCCGCATACCTCAGCTGGGACAAGCCCTGCGCTGGATGGATACTGTGGGCTCCACCGGGGGCAGGAAGTACGATCGACTTCCCAGGAGCGCCTAACACGGGAGTGACATGTGATAGCCTGGGAGAGTAAAAGCGCCTGGCCGCGAGCAGAGACGCGTCCATATACATTTTATTTAGTCATGAGACTCTGCTGTTAATCTAGCACAAAGGAAATGAAACCTGTAACATCGTGTTTATTTGGCTTTTAGAGAAAAAAATGATCACCTTCACCTTCGTTGTTTCAGTGCAAAGAGAAGCGTTTAAGTTTTTGGTCTCGCTAGAAGGGCATGTAATTAAATTGGAAATTAAACATGTTTCGCAGGTTTACTCCACTTTTTTTTTAATATAAAAAGTATGCATATTTATAAACCCTGGCTAACATTTTTTTCCCCATGTTAGGCGAAGGGCGCCATCTGTCGGTCAGAGTGATACAAGCAATTTTTTTTCGCCTTGTTTCCGATTACAATGTAAATGCGGTACAAGTAATTCTGCTCTTATTTCAGCTTCAGTCGGATAATGTAGGGCGTCTGTAAGCCGACCTAAACACGGACATGATGTTTACTTCAGTTACAGCCGTCACATATTTATGAACAGGAAAATTATTGCTATTGCATTTGCTTTAATTAGGCTATTGAAAACGATATTACGCTGCCGTTGTGTGTATGCGGATACCACAGTCAGGTTGTCTCGTAAATTTTATATATTATTCTTTTTAACCTAAGGATTACGTTAGATTTCTGTTCGTATCTTTTATGTTAGACGGGTCGGAGCGGACCCGTGTCTCAAATCAGCCATAAAATACACTCAAAACAATTGTTTATCATCCAATTTGTTTCTTACCTCTTGGTTACCTTGTTAGGATTCCTTATCCATGAAAAGATTAGTTTTAATATTTTTGGTGTGGCTTTCTGAACCTTTCTTTTGACAGGATACCTCTCGTTTTCAATAAAATAATGGCATAACAAGCCTCAAGTGAATTAAATAAATAAACTGAATTGGTCTTATCTTGCCTTACATGTCTGGACATGCCTTGCCTAGTAATTTTTTAAATAGAGGTTCCTGATGCAGTACACAAATTTATGTGGTGCTTTTATGCATTTTAAACTTACAAACCGGAAGGTTATGAGGAAAACTTTGTTCGCTTGTGTTTGGGGACTTGATCTACTGCCCCTCGCTGGCGACTGCATGTATAACACCGAGTATTGAGTCTCTTTTACTTCAACCTTCCTTCGTTTCATGTGACAGCGGCTGGAAGACAGATGGATGGTTGCATGCATGCACGAATCATGCGATTCGATTCGTTATTTTCGTTGCTCATCGTGGATCAAGTACATTTAATTGCCGTTTGTACTTGAAATCGAGATCTTTAAGTAACGCTAAAAAATATTCGAACATTCTCACTGGGCCTGTTTCTTTTATTTTACTTAATTTCTTAGGATGTTGGTAGGAAAAAGCACTTAGGTCGGATTTTATTTGAACCCGTTTTGAGTAACGAGAAGAACATAATCTCTGTCTCTCGCTCTCATACTGTGTGCCAACGTACAGGAACAGGTACAAGAGCCGTAATCAGCTGTAAAAAGCAAAGAATGATATTAAATGCGTTAGACCTATATCTTCAACTTAGAAGACCCTCTTGGCAAAAAAATTAATCAAACTTCCAAATATGAAATTCAGAAAGGCTTTGCAAACGTAACATTGCATTGCAAGTCTCAGCAATGTTTTGTCTTAACCGTGCATCATATTATACTAAACTGCATCTCGTCTGAGTACGCGTACTTTGCTCAATGACCATAAAGTTGAAACTAATCTAATGTAATCTAATTATCATCATTTTATACCGACACAATATAAATGGGTCCATATAACGTTTCTCTTTTCTATTTATTTGCCCTGGAAACGCAGCGTTGCATAAATCACAGCTTCTGTCTCTTTGGACAAAGAACATTTTCGTTCTAAGTTAACAACCCTCAACATCGATTTCAATTTTTTCCATTGAAACGTTTTTCTAGTTAATAATTAACACCGTGCTATCGTGTTTTTAAGTGCAGTCATTAAATAGGGGGTCAATTCCATATGTTTCTGGCCCGTGGCCTTGGTCAAAGATAAGATATTGTGTAGCAGAAAAAAGTCTGCTTTCACGGTTTTGCGTAGATGAAACCTCGCCTCCCCGTACGACCCGCAGACCCAGAATCCCTGACGAACGAGTTCTTCTCACTTCCCGTAATTTTTTTCTCATTGGAAAAACTGGTATCCATTAAAGATTCTACGTACTGTCTGCCTGCTTTAGCAACTTAGTTACAAAACTGTTGCAGTCGGAGTAGCGGATATGTGATGATGTGATGCAGCCCTGCGCATGCGCTGCGCTGATCAATGCCACCCGATATTTTACTGTTAACTTTCCATTGTTCCGTCGTACTATGCATTCTGGAAACATCCACAAGTGGCTTAAACATACCGTAAACTGGTGACATTTTAGGATATTTTTAAGATCAATAACAGTGGTATTATCTAGAATCTAAATAGTACAGGTCCTGGAGTCAAAGCACTTGGACTTGGCTACAATAAACAAACTTGAAACTATGAAAAAGGAAAGCAGTCGTCGTAATGCTAGTAATGTAAAACCATACAAATTAGAGAAAATAAATCAGACTGTAAAGTATAACGCTTAGAATAGGCTGTACACACTCTCCTTTGTTCCCCAGTGGGGATCTATGTTTAACAAATCGTCCGTGATGTTTTTTTAATGATGCCGACACTATTCCTTGGCCAGGCTGGCTTTGCTGTTTGAATGACGTGTTTCCATCTGCGCTTGACGGTGACGGCTGAAGATATTTAACCATGCTGCCTACAGCGGCGCTGCACCTCACATACGGCCCTTACACTGAGTATGAGCAGCCTGATGTACGGAGTGCGGGCCGGCACCACACACCCGAAGGGTTGTAGCTTCCCATCTCACCTCTGCTCTGTGTGTGAAGTTGATATGTTCTACTTGTGTTGTTTCCTCCTGCAGTCTAAAAACTGGCGCCAGTTCAGACTGGACTCCAGGCCCCCAACGAGGCCACGACCCTGACCGGGAAAAGCATTTTTAAGATGGGTGTAGTGGTGATGGCTTGGAGCTTCGAGCACGGCAGTACCGCTTTGGTACTGTTTATATCCCCAAGCAGAGGCCTTGCCCATGTGCCACAAGCCAGCAATAATAATATTAATGCCGGCGTTCCGATTAGTGTGCGCTTAATCCCTCGCTTTATAATGGGAATGTTTGCAGTGTGACAAACACTCGGTGACGCTTAGTGGCGACGCTGGACTTCCTCCTGGAGGCCCTCCAGAAAAAATATCCTGTTTGTATTTGACTAATTTGTAGTTCTTTGGTATTTAGCTTTATATTTTATTATTTATTATATAATTTATTTTATTTGTAGTTGATTGTATTGCACTTTTTACATGTTGCAAAATTTTCTGACCAAAAGTAAAGTGGTTAACATTAGCCTTATATTTTATTATTTATTTTATTTGTGTTGATTGTATTGCACTTTTTACATGTTGCAAAAAAAAAATAATTAAAGTGGTTAAAGTGTTTACAGTAAGAGCATTGTTGTTATGCCGCGCTGTCTGGCAAGCAGGCAGGGCGCGGGGAATGACAAGGCAGATAGCCGAAGATCCAAGAAACGGGTTTTATTAAGGGCGGACAGGACAACACGGAGATTAACGTTAATGACGGATCTAGGGATACTGACACAGACGCGGACTAAATACACAAGAAAAGCCAGGATTCACAGGAAACAGGTGCACACATGCAATCAGGAATTAACACGAGGTAACGAGGGGGGCGTGGCACACACGAGGATCGGACGAGCCGGGCGTCACAATTGTCTACTAGTTTATTTTGCCACTTTTCAGTACACCACATTAAGTAAGCCAACTGGTACTGCAAGACTTTGAATGTCAAAGTGCAAATTAACACCTGACTACTCCTGTGGGTTTGCTACTGTTACAATTAAAGATCATAGCAAGGGTAAAAACATTGGTATGATACAGTCATTGACAAAAGTCTTGTCACGTAAGGACATAGTAACTTAAAAAGGCATATAACTTTATTTCTAATCAATCAATTGTTACATTGAATGGATCAATTTAATGCCAAGGGCTTTCACATTAATAACTGGGTACAAAATGAAACAGTCAAAAAGTGTCCTGATGTTCACAGCTTGTTAAAGTCCATAACACCTGTTTTTGCAAGGACAAAAGTCTTGTCATGTCTTTTAATTATTCAACCAATCACAGATTAGAGGTTCACCTGTGACAAATATTGTAATTAACATAATCCCAGGTGTGTATAAAAAGAACCCCAGCACACCAGACCTTCACTTGAAGCGCAACCTAACTTCTGACAACATGCCAAAGATTCAACCCCAGACCAAGTCTGCTGCTGTGGTGGCAGACATCGTTAATGTATCCAAACGTCAAGTGGAGAGGATTAAAAAAAGATATGAAGAAACTGGTGATGTTCATGACAAGCCCAGGTCAGGCAGACCCCATAAGACAGCTCTTTGAAAGGACCGTTTGTTGCTTCGAAAGTCCAGGGCCAACCCTTTTTCAATTGCAGCAGATCTACATCAGAACTGGTCACCCGAAACCGCTGTGTCTACAAGAACAGTTTCTTGAATTCTCGCATGCAGTGGTCTCCATGGCCAAATTAGTGCTCAGAAACCAGCATTAACAAGAACACAACAAAAAAGCATGTTGAATTTGCCAAGGCCCACAGCTTGCAGCAAAGATGGACAGTGGCAAAGTGGCAGAAGGTAGATTTTTCTGACGAATCATCCATTGAACTACATACCAAATGCCGCAAATACTGCAGGAGACCTGTTGGAACCCGCATGAACTCAAAATTCACCCAGAAAATAGTCAAGTTTGGTGGAGGAAAAATCATAGTTTGGGGTTACATCCATGGGGGTGTTCGAGAGATCTGCAGAGTGGATGGCAACATCAACAGCCTGAAGTATCAAGATATTCTTGCTGCCCATTACATTCCAAACCATAAGAGGGGGCAAATTCTGCAGAAGGATGGCGCTCCTTCTCATACTTCAGCCACCACATTGAAGTTCCTGAAACTGAAGAGGATCAAGGTGCTCCAGGATTGGCC